GTTTAATCTCAGCAGCAGCAGCAGCAGCAGCAGCAGCAGCAGCAGCAGTAGCAGCAGCAGCAACGGCTGTAGCTGGTACTAGTAGTTGAGGCGAAAGCCCCCACCTCAGTCCTTTAACAAAGACGAGAAACTGCTTGCTGCTGCTGCAGCGCGCTGCTGCTGCAGCAGCTCGCTGCTGCTGCGACTGCTTAGCAACCCCACCGCAGTAACACACTGGTGCAGATGCGCCACTTCATCGGCCTTGTGTATAAATTATTTTAAGATTTGTATTCGATACAGTCGCTGCAGTACATCCTCTAGGGTTTAGTGTTTAGGGTTTAGGGTTTAGGGTTTAGGGTTTGTGCTACGGCTGCAACAGCAAGAGCAGAGAAGATACTCGGGGTGAGCCAGCTGCCTCCACCGAAGCAACAGTAGCAGCGCGCTGCAGCCAATGCTTTCTATTGCTGCTTCTCTGTGGTACCCTCTACGGCCTCGCCCCGGGGGCCCCTCTGAGGGGCCCCCAGGGGCCCCTCATGGGGCCCCCAAGGGGCCCACTACCGGCTGGCTTGGGCCGCGTGAGGTGGGTGGGGGGCCCCCTGGTGAATAGCGTAGGAGTACGGGGGGCCCCCCTTTGATGTGTTTTTTGTAAGCTGCGTGTAAGCGGCCTTTCAGGGGGCCCCCCTGTTATGTAGGGTTTAGGGGCCCCTTTGGGGGCCCCCGGCGGGGCCCCTGTTGCTGGCTGCTTTTTATTAGGAGAGCTAGAACTTCTGCTGCTGCTGCATAGTAACTGGGTATCTATTGATATCTGCTGAGGTTTTTTGTGGGGTGTTAGATGCTTGGAGCTGCAGTTTCAGGGGCCCCGGGTGCTGCTGCGGTGCTGCAGCTGGGATCGGGGAGGAGACGATCCCGCATACGATCCCAGGGTAGAGAGGAAACAGAAATGAGGCTGGTGGGTTAAGTACAGAGGTGTGGGGGGCAGCAATAGAGACAGGAAAGCAGCAGCAGCAAATGCAAGCAGCGGCTAGCTGCTGGCTTGGGTTCCTCTAGCGCGGGGGGCAGCAGCAGCAGCAGCAGCAGCAGCAGCAGCAGCAGCGGCAGCAGCAACGAAAGCGGCGCGCCGGTAGAGAAGGAACACTCAGGGAGTGATCAGGGTTGGTGGGGTTGTTGTTATTTGAAATGCATTAAACTAAATATAAAATAAATATATTAAAAGGGGGATTTCGATAAGAGAAACGTCAGCAGCAGCTGCATCCGCTGCAGCAGCACAGCAGCAGAGCCTCGAGCCATCTCACATCCCGCGCAGCAGCAGCAGCAGCAGCAGCAGCTGCTGCTGCTGCTGCTGCTGCTGCTGCTCCCTCCGTAGCAGCTCCGGGCCCTTGAAGCTGAAGGGGTGTTTTCTAGGGATTGTTTGGAGTGTATTGTGATGAAAAAGAATAAAAGAAACGCATTTTATTTATTTAATTGCGGGGAAGGGGCCTCCTCTCTCTCCTCTCCTGCTGCAGCTGACTGGCCTGAGCCGAGCGACCGCCATAGGCGGGCATTTATACTGCGAAGGAACGGCAGCAGGTAGTGTGTTTTGTGTTTGTTTGTTTGTTATTTTTGTTTATTTATCATAGAGGCAATACATTGCCTCCTTAAAGAATCATTAACTTCTTCTTTCTCCTTCTTTGTCTCTACCAGGCGCAGCAGCAGCAGCAGCAGCAGCAGCAGCAGCAGCAGCGGCTGTCGATACAGTGGAGTCGCCACCTCCTTCTTGGACTCGTTCCTTCTTCTTTTCTCTTTTCCGAATAAGCAGACAGGTTTTTAGCTGCTGTTGTTTTCCAGCTGACCCTGCTGCTGCTGCTGCTATTGCTGCTGCTGCGCTGCTCCGGCTGCAGCACGCAGCTGGGGAACAGCAGCAACAGCGGTCCTCCTCCTGCTGCCTGCTGCTGCTGCAGGGGCATAGACCCTGCTGCTGCCGCCTCTCTCTCTTCTTTTTGTCTTTTTAATATTCAAAAGAAAAGCATAAAGAGGAAATTCATACAACGCGCTCAGAAACAGCAAGGGCCTCTGCTGGCCTCAGCATCATCGGCGCCCTCAGGAGCTGCAGCAGCAGCTGCAGCTGCAGCAGCAACAGCTGCAGCAGCAGCAGCAGCTGCAGCAACTGGAACTGCAGCAGCAGCAGCAGCTCGACATTAGACGCAGCCGAGCTTGGTGATGATGTTACGTTGCCTCTGAGGCCAGACAGGTCCGGGTTGCAGCAGCAGAGGCACGCGGTGTACATACACATATACACCTGAAACTAGCTCCTGCGTTCTCTAGGGCTGAGGTGTACACCCAGCTTATAGTTATTTCATCTGTTTGCAGCGGCTTCTACACAAACCCCTGCCCTGGGATCGACGATCCCAGCCCCACTCCGCCCCTCACCGCGGGATCCACGATCCCGACCCCCCCCCACCCCTCACCACGACGATGGGCTCGTCGTACAGGCCGGCACGCCAGCTGTCCTAGGTAGCTAAGCAGCAGCAGCAGCAGCAGCAGC